TCTGAGGGTAAGATCTGAGGGCATATTTATTTGCTGTTATCTGTTGTTGTTATTATATGTTCATCACTGGCTCCGCCCTTACACCATCCAAGGGCCAAATAGTTTCTGAGGGCAGTTTACAGCAATAAAAGTCAATATGGCAGAGAAAAAGATTGTGTACTGTATAGCTGTACCATACTGAGAACATCTAGGCATACTTTGAATCTGGAAGGGTAATGTCAGCCACTCTATGCCAAATACATAGCTAATTGTGAGGGTCATTTTGCGCTTGGTAAATAGTCCTGTCTGCTTTGAAAGCAGGGAGATACTTAACATGTGACTGGATACCCCTTTCCTAGTCGGTTAGAGTGGCCATTCTCAACCTTTTTTGGCCACAGCTATAAAAACAATACAAAAGAAATACAGGCTGAATCAGGATTGTTTAAGTCACGTAACAAACATTATAAGGTGGTGTGTGAAGAATTGCTTCCAGTTTGTGGCCCCCTTCATGTGTATCAGAGACCCCCTGAAGGCCAAATGCCCCCCATTGAGAATGGCTGAGTTAAAGGGATACTGGCATATTCTGAAGTAGCAGCATACATGTCTGTAGACATAAACTGAAAGCATTCCTCACAATGAAAGACAGTTTGAGTACAGTGGTGCCTCGCAAGACAAGCACCCCGTTTAACGATGAAATCGCATTACGACAAACTTTTTGTAATCGAAAAAGCGATCGCAAAACGATGTTCCCTATGGGGGAATTTCGCTTTGCGATGATCGGTTCCCTGCTTTGGGAACCGATTCTCACAAAACAATTTTCGGCCAGCTGATCAGTGGTTTCAAAATGCCTGTCGGGTAAAAAACATGGCCGCCCGCTGTTTTCTGGGACGGATTCCTCGCTGCATGGGCAGCGAAAATGGCTGTGCTATGGAGGAGCTTCACTGGATGGTGAGTTTTAAGCCCATCAGAATGCATTAAACAGGTTTTAATGTGTTCCTATGGGCTTTTAAATTTCGCTTTACGATGTTTTCGTTCTACAGCGATATCGCTGGAACGAATTAACATCGTAATGCGAGGCACCACTGTACAAGCTTTCCAGTAGGGGAATTCTTGAAAATTATATGGCAATGAATATATATGGAACAGTGAAAGAAAATACTGTTAAAGTACCAAGGTGGCACTGTTACTCCACACTACGCTTGGAGGGAATATACTTGCACAACCCAGAGCATCATGCCAGCATTTTCTTTACTATTTCCTTGTGGGAATTTCATCAAAAGTGGTTAAAAAAAAGTAGCAGAGCCTTCCAGTTGAGAAAAGGGAACATAATTACGGGGAAACACTCAACTCTTTGCCAGAAATAACAGTTCAGAAGCAGGGGACATGATCTCAAGTGTAATTCTTGGGATTTTCAGCAAAAAAAGGAGCTCACGCAGCATAGTAGAACTGCCGGAGAAAATGTCTACACTAGACCTTGGTGGGTGCTCACAGTCAGATCAGACTTGAACTCAGGAAAGGGTGTGTTTTTTGGGCCACAACTCTCAAAAATCTCCACTCACCATGGCCAGCACCAGTCGTTCACATATGTTGCTCTTCAGGGTTCTGCATTAGATAGCACTGGGCAAACCAGACCAATGGTCTAACCTGACATATGCAATGGTGCCCCCTTATCTGTGGGATCAGTATCTGCTGATTCACTTATCCACACTCTGAAAATATTAAAAATATTAAAAGAACCCTCCATGTATATTTTAAACAATGAGACCATTCTATGTATAGCATTTGCTATTATAATAGTGCTGGCTATAATCCATGTTTTCCAGCATCTGGTGGTGGTGGGCTTAGAACTGATACCGCATGGATAAGGAAGCTTTGCTGTATCAGCTGTTTTGTTTACTTAGGTAAAGCTTCCCTTGACAATTGTCCAGTTGTGTCCAACTCTAGGGGGTGGTGCTCATCTCCGTATCCAAGCCATAGAGCCAGCATTTGTCTGTAGACAGTTTCCATGGTCACGTGGCCAGCGCAACTAGACATAGAACGCCATTACCTATTTATCTACTTGCATTTTTGCATGATTTCGAACTAGGTTGGCAGGAGCTGGGAACTAGGTTGGTAGGAGCTGGGACAAGTGACGGGAGCTCACTCCATCGTGTGGATTTGAACTGCTGATCTTTCAACCTTGCAGCCCAGAGGCTTTGTGGTTTAACCTGCAGCGCCACCATGTCCCATTTTGTTTACTTAGAAGATACAAATTTTAGGTAGTGTTAGAAATCACACAACAGCCAACTTAGAGTAATCACAGTATCTGTTGGTTGTTTTATATTCTGACTACAGTTGGCCCATAAGACAGTTTAAGCAGCCAAAGAATCCGAACTGCTTAAATAACTCTGTCTGTGTGACAATCATTTTTAGGTGAGAAAGATTTCATAGCATTCAAAAGCATTTTGATTCTGGGTCTTAGTATGAAATGCCTGTGCTGATTATCATTTCCCTTCTTTATCATTTATTCATCTACACAAAGTCTTAAATATTCAAAACTAGCAACAAACTAATTGCCAGCCCCAAGGAGGAATGTGCTCTATATTTCTAGTTCTGTCTTCAACCCTAGTTCTCCCCCCACTTTTCTAAATGAATAAACTGTTAGTTTTAACTACAGGTTGCAATTCCATGGCTGAGATGGTCATAAGGTTTTGAAAATGTACGAGATAGAACCAATCTCTTTAATACAAACACTTAGAATCCAGCATTTTGAAGATGGGAACTTATCAATCAGCAAACAGGAGTAAGAATATTACAAAGCTGAACTGTAACACTGAGTACCAAGGCTAAACGTTTTGGCTTCTCTGTGTAACTTGGGCTCTGGCATAGGTGGCTTTAGTGAGTGAGAGGCAGTTTTCTTTTAATCTGAACCCCTTTCTGTTTTGCTTCATGTTGTTTATATCATGAGCCTGTAGGCAATGTATGCAGCAAGTAGAGTATTTAGAACTTTATAGCATCTAGTGCATAGAAGGAACTTTATAAATATTAATTGTTGCTAATGAAGATGATGAAAATTCAGTATCTTTTAAGTTTAGAGGCAGTGTGCAAGACAAAAAAAAAACAAACTATGGATGGTGAATCTCTTTTTTCCTGAGCTGGTGAGCTTCCCAGAAATATCAGTATGGCCACAGTTAGAGCCACAGTTCTATGGTGCTTCCAGATGCAGGGCTCCTACTGATACCACTTGAAATGTATAGTGATGCTCTTACTTTTTTCATCCATAACTTATCTTTTTTAAAAAAATAAAATAAAATAAAACTGTGAATAACAGAAAAAGACAGAACAGGCAGTAAGAAAACATGGTAGGATTACAAATGGAAAATGTCACTATTGCTAGACTCCCTTCCCACATGGATGAATAAGACAGGATGAAAGCCATGCCCTGAAGGACCCTCCGACTGGATGGACAGTCTGACCCAAACACAGTTTTCTGTGTTCTCTGTAGTAGGTTGATGCATCAAATTTGGACAGATCACAAATTCCAAACCTAATCGTCCCGATTGAGATGGATTTGTATGAGATCCAGATCAAAGTAAAGTGGACAGATTCAGTTTGACAGCAAAGTAAAGAGAATTTACAACTGGATTGAGTCCAGGGCACAGATTGAATCAGATGGCGCACAAAATGTTTTGGCCTGCTAGACTAGCCTTTTGTGTGTATATGTGTGTTTTTCTAAACAAACAAACTTTAAATATGTCTAGTGGCCAACCCCCTGAAGTTAGCTGTCCCAAATTTGGCAGGTTTACTCCCCTCTTCATGGTTTCTTATTTTCCAAATTATCTTTGTACACCAGTGCATTTTGTTTTTTTTAAACACAATAGCTTTATAAATCTACAACTCATTTTGTATTTTGGGCCCAAAGCCAATCAGATGGGACAGAAATTGATTTGAGATATGTTTTCAAGCCACAAATTGACCTCCTAATAGAATTGGGCCCATGCAAGCTCTATTATGACCATACTATTGTGGTGTTTTCATTGCCCTTTGGCTGGGATACCGTCTCTAAGGAATTGGGCTGTGAAATCTTGAAATCATTTTCAGCCTAGTGACTACATGTTTTATAAACCACCTCTTTCTTTACATCCTGTTGTGATTTTCAACCAGCTAAATCCTTTGCTACCAAATGCTTATGCATTCGATATGCTCATAGGTGTTACCAGTTGTTTCTGCCCTTCTATGAATTTCTCTTCTACTACACCTACACGCAGGTTCCTGCCTAAACATCTGCAACAAACGTAAACTATACTAAAAATAAATTTCACACCAGATATTTTTAAATAAGTAAGCTGTAACTTTAGCTGGGAATTCTTATATTGGTTTAGTTGTACATTCACGGCACATTTAGCATATGAAAACGTCATTAATTGATTGATTTGCATTTGGCCCTTCCTGACCTTTCTCCAGGTGGTTTGCACTTTTTTGATTGTTAGTGTTATACCCTGGACCATAAGGAAGGCTGACCACTGAAGAATTCATGCTTCTGAATTATGGTGCTGGAGGAGGCTCTTGAGAGTCCCCTGGATTGCAAGGAGATCAAACCTATCCATTCTGAAGGAAATCAACCTTAAGTGCTCACTGGAAGGACAGATCCTGAAGCTGAGGCTTCAATACTTTGGCCATCTCATGAGAAGAGGAATTTCCCTGGAAAAGATCCTGATGGGAAAGTGTGAAGGTAAGAGGAGAAGGAGATGACAGAGGACGAGATGGTTGGGCAGTGTCATTGAAGCAACCAACATGAATTTGACCAAACTCTTGGAGGCAGTGGAAGACAGGAGGGCCTAGTGTGCTCTGGTCCATGAGGTCACGAAGAGTCGGACACAATTTAATGACTGAACAACAAACAAAAATTATACTCTGAGCTGAAGAGACAGCATGGATTACATATACAAAAAAAGGCAAATCAAGAAAGCGTAGCTCATCAGTACAAAAAAAAAAAAAAAAAAAAAAGGCAAATCAAGAAAGCATAGCTCATCAGTACGTACCCACTGGGCTGGGACTGCTGATTGCTGGAAAAGGAAACAGAAACAGATATTTTAAATTATTATTAAATATATATGGTTGTATATAAAGATACAAGGGGGAAATGTCTGAATTCTCTCTATGATGTCTGTTTCACACACATATGCCTTGGCAGCCTGTCACCTTGGAGTACAATCTGGGACTAAGGGACCTTCCACCTGAGGTTGTTACTGTGCCACTGCTTCATTTAGGAAAGTCTACAGCAGGTCCAGGTGACACTGCCCTCAATTGGCAGCCCTCCTATGTTTGCCCAAAGTTTTCTTCCTTTTTCTTTTTTTAACAGACAAAACTAGTTAAGGTAAAAAGATAGAACAGATGATGGACACTTTTCTGTTGTGAATGGTAGAAACACCTTCAGAGCACAGATGCACAATTCAGGTCAAACCAAGGACTAAAGAAAACAAGGTGATAGCTTCACAATTAGAATGAGATACACTGATTTCCTTCCAAAGGTGTAGTCCTTTGAAGCTGCTGAGGTAAAAATGAAGCCCATGGCTTAACGCTTGGTGACACTTGACCAAACTTAACACAAGCTAATTGGCAACTTTGGGGCTGAGGAATTTCTGCTGGCATAAACAAGCAGACCTATTGTCTTCAGGAAGCCCTCTGCTAAGGTGGACTAGTTCATGCTTCTAGGCAGGAAAAGGTGTGTGTTTCATGGGAGAGGGCTTGAAGGAAGGGTTCAAAAACTCTTTAGTACTTTGAGCCCTTTTAATAAGAACATCATTGCCATTCTTTGATTGGCTTGTCACATTAAATCTCTTTTAAAAAGCAGCGAGTTACAGTTATAGTTCAAAGGCTTCCATAAGTAATTAAAACACTTATAGTTACAATTTTAAAAATAGCTGTTTCCTTTTGATATGTTCAAGTAAGCAGATTTAACTCACAAAAGCTCACACCCAAATAAATCTGTTAATCTTAAAAAAATACTACAATACTTGAATTGTGTTGTTATAGATGCGGAACAGATTTACATCGCTATCTTTTTCAAAATCTTCACTTTCCTGTTATGTAAAACTATCTGAAATAATTATTTTTGTGCTACTTTGAAAAACAGCTAAATGCTACTAGGAACCATCCCATGACAGAAAACACTATCTTCTTCCATACACTTTGTTGGACACCCTGACACCAAAAAGAGAGAATGAGGAAGCCGCACAAGACACACTGAAAGCCAGTACTTGCACCACATGATATTCCTCCTCCACCACTTAGTAAGATCATACACTTGTAACTATATAAATAATTTACAGTGCAATTACACTGACGAATAATGCAGGAAATGCTCCAGGACTGGGTCAGTCAGATTCACATTATTTTATGTTGACTTCATTATGTAAAAGTCAATAAGAATGAGCCCAGAATTGTCCCCACAAAATACATTATTTTTTCCTCCACTGCTGGAGCTTCTACTTTTTTTGGAATTGAATGCATTTACATTGGTTGAGGCAGTGTGATAGGCTGATCCAATGTGGAGGGGTTTGCAGCCATTCTCTCTGAAGCCATTCCAGCCAGACAAATCAGCAGTGAGGGAAGCAGGGAAACTGGCTGCCATTTGAATTCCCCTTCTCTTTCCCTTCCCTTCCCTTCCCTTTCTTTTTCTTCTCTTACTAATGTTTTCGCTTCAAAAGGGCTCAGCTTGATTCCTGGCTTGTAGACAGCACTTCAACAACTTAACAACTAATCAAGCACGGAAGGTAAAGAGACACTTACGTTCTATATAGTGGATGATTCGGCTAGCAGCATCCCCAGTTCCAAAGCGGGTTATGGGTGTTAGGCGAACTTCGTAGCTCTGAGGCACCTTCAAGTCAGTCAAGAGGTGCTCTTGTAGCATACCCTTTTCCATCTTTCGCACAGAAATGGATTTGGAGGGCAAATCCCTGTGATTGAGCTGTTGAGACATAAATCATGGCTCGGTTAACATAAACTGCTGTTTTAAGACTGAAGGACTCTTATGGCTAGTCCACCTAGTCCATGCGTTGCTAGGTTTGGAGGTATTTTGCATTTTCTTGCGTGTATCACATAGTGCTAGTTCTTGAAATATGAAACAGGATTCGGGGAAGCTCAGAAGTTGAAAAACACACACCATGTCTCCAGCCTTTGTTTTAAGCTAAGAGCATATGCAGATTTTTTTTAATAGGGAGAGAGGAAGCTGTATGTGGCTCTGGGTCAGAGTTCAAGTGGGGAGAATATGATAATTTTGTATTCTTAGCAGCTGGATTGTTTCACAAAGGACAGAGCTAGAATTTGATGCTGTGTAACATTCAACCGGGGCTGGCTGGATAGTTCAGTGAGCCAGAACATGGGCTGGGAGTGGGATCTCCCATTATGCCTTGCTGGAGAAGAGCCAGCCTGCATAGCTTAGGGCAAGCTACATAGTCCCAGAGGGCTTCCTGAAGGAGGGATATACAAACTATTTCTGAGTACAGTGGTGCCTTGCTTAGTGATTGCTTCGTTTAACGATGTAATCGCTTAACAATTAGTTTTCTGGAGCGATCTTGCGCTCCGTTTAACGATGTTTCCTATGGGCGATTTTTGCATAGTGATGTTTGGGACCTTGCTTCGCATAGCGATGACAGTTTGGGTCCCTCTGTTTCGCTTAACAATGGTTTTGACAGCCTCCTGTTGGCTGTCTTTAAAATGTTTAAAAATGTTTAAAAAAGGTTTAGAATGCTTGAAATCATAAGTGCACTTAATAAACCCTTTGTTAAACTAATTTGACTTTGTTCTGACTCTTTTTGAATTTGTTGTAATCCCCCCCCCATTGAAATGCATTGAATAGGTTTCAATGCATTTCAATTGGGGAAACGCGTTTCGCTTAGCAATGTTTCCTAGGGCGATTTTCACTTAAGGACGGCAATCCATTCCCCCTGGAACGGATTATTCGGTTTTCAATGCATCTCTATGGGAAAACGTGTTTCGCTTAACAATGTTTTCCCATAGTGATGGGGTTTTTTTTTGTGCATCAATTAAAATCGTTAAGTGAGGCACCACTATACTCTACATGCAGAAAACCCAGGAAAGGGCCACTATAAGACAAAATTGAATTGCTGGCAAGAAATTAATTAATTGATATTCAACAGGGTGCTATAGTCAATAATTATGGATTTATTTGAATCATTCAAATAAATTAGTCTGTTATGAATTTATTTGAATGATACACATTGTGTCAAAACACTTGTCTGTTGTATTCATGTACATTAATACCCTGCTTAACGCTGCCCTATTTAGCACCGTTTTATTATAAACAGAGTGATTTCCACCACCCTCTCAGTCAATCAGTCATTCTTTGTCCGGAGCAAATTACACCCTCTTTTTCATTCCTCTCTCTTCTCTTCCCTTTCTTTGGTCCCACTCCAAACTACCTTTCACATACACTCTCTCAGACAGAAACACATACACTATTGACACATACACACAAGCAGTCAAGCGAGCTGTCAATTGGTTGGGAGCTCTCCCTGCAGATCTTCCTCATCTGTTGTCTTTCCTGCACTATTTTACCTCATAGAAAGGTGGGAAAGACTACAAATACATGTGTTCGTGGTGGTTCCTTCTCTCTCTCTCTCTCTCCTTTCCTTTTTTTGACCTCTTCTCCCTCTCACTCTTTTGTGTTTCTCTTCTGCTCTTTCCCCCTTCCTTCCTCTCCTCATCTTCTTCGAGTGCCAGAGACTTTGAATGAAATCAAACTCTCATTAGCTTTTTCACCTATCCATTAAACTATAATGTTATCATGACCCTATTTGCCACTATTTTTGGCTAGTGTTCCATGTACTAGGAATGTATTCTGATTCTGTGTAGGCATCCTTCAGTCTCAAGAGACTATGGTAACATTCTCTGAATAGAGGTCTTGGAACAGCGTCTAGTGTGGCTGAGAAGGCCAATTCGAGAGTGACAATCCCTTCCACACTGAAGACAAATACAATCTGTCCCCTGCCCAGCTCCCTGATTTTGCTGGTTTTGGGACTGCCTCTTTGCCTTGGCCTGCTGGACAAGGGTCTCTTCAAATTCGGAAAGGCCGTGATGCACCACCTGCCTCCAGGCTGAACACTCAGATGTCAAGGTTTCCCATCTGTTGAGGTCCATTCCTAAGGCCGTATTCTGAGTATTGACTGGAGTATTACAGTATTACATTTACAGGTATACATAACAAAAAAAGTGAAGAAGGACAAAATGTTATGACAACAGTAAATTTTAGTGACTATTATGCCCTATCTGGATACATGTACAAATTCAAAGGACATCCTTACCAGTGAGTCCTTCTGTTTGTTAGAAACTCTCTTGTCCTCTCAACAAAGCAAGAACATCTTCCACTTTTTAGGGGCAAAACTCCATGCATACACCAACATATAAGATATTAGCAGTTTCCTAGAAACAGCATGAGGCCTTACAGAAGAACTAAGATTTTGAAATTCTCAACTAAATATTTTAGATAGGGCGGCAGCTGTCCCAAGATTAAGCACAACTGTTTCTCTATGGCTGGTACAATGACACTTGTAACATTAATTTATCCTGTCAACTTGGTTTCCTTATAAATATGTGGTATAAGTGGCTCACAAATTGCAATGTGCTTTGTAACAACCACGTGATTTGCAGAGTTGATTCTGTCTTACCAGGGAGCAAAGCACACACAATCAATATGGTTTGTCTATATCCATGCTCTGTCCATGGAAGCCATCTGACATCTAAATAGGTAGTAAAGATCAACATGTTGGCATTTGATACAAGACACAAAGCATACTTTGGAAGCTTTCTTGCATTATTATGCATGTTAATGTAAATATTTTTAGTGCAGGACAGAAAATGGAAGAGAGACATTAAAATGTGAGCACATGCTACCTCAGTGAATTAGGTACTCACTTGCATAGCCAGAGATGAGGAGTTCAGTTTTCCCACTGTGCCCCCCCCCAAGAAGAGCCAGCCTAAGTAGCCTTGAACAAGCTGCACTGTACCAGAATTCCCTCCAGAAAAAGGAAATAGTAAACTATTTCTTTACCTAGGAAGCTCTGACAAGTTTCACTATAAGTTGGAATTGACTTAATGGCCTCTGATTGTTATTACTACATGCTACACAGTGGTGGGAGTAGAAAGGATGAATTGGGAATGCCAATTACTGTTGCTTGATATTATTTTTCATTTATCTTTCAGAGTTGCAATGTTACTAAACATGGTAGCATTTTTATCCTGGAAAACTCAACGGCTTGTACTGTATTTCCTATTAGTCCCTCATGTGAATTATGTCCATCTCATAACACCTCTCATTATTTTCTAAGATTGTTTGCTGAAAGAGAGCGATCATTATGCCATAAGAGCAAACATCCGATAATAGCAAAGAGATACTGGGGGAAGAGGACACCTTAGATGTCAAACGGTAGACAAGACAAGTTGGCTGTGTTTGGATAAGCATCTCAGCTGAATAAGCTGAAACACGAAGAAGCCTCTCTGTTGCATACACAGTCCTTTCAACCTGCTCTTCGCAAACAATCCAGTAGCAATTCTGTTAACTGTTGTTTCTTGCAACAACTCAACTGGGAAACTATGCTTATTGACTTTGGAACAAGCCAGGCTATTAAGCCGAACTGAAACCATGACTTAGTAGCCTGGCTTGTTCCAAAACTATTAACTTTAGTTTCTCAGTTCATTTTCTAGCTTGTTTACTTGCTTGCTCATATGACGCAAGGAACAAAGGAGCATCTGAAGTCCCATTGGGTAATAGTTTCACAATCTCTATCCACTGAGACGTCTGATACGCCCCAAACTGATAGGGTTATTTCAAAATGTGCAGAAAATAAGTGTTCTAAAGTGTTGTAAATTTGTAATATATTACTTTGTTGTCTTTGGACCCAGAAAGAGCCTCCAAGGCAGATGACATTTTAAAACAATTTACAAACCTTTAAAGATCACAAAGAACAAAATTGAGACTGAGAGAAAAACAATCTTTTAAAAAGGAGTGGAGTTCATACAACTGAAGGAGAAAAAATGTTAATATATTGTCTGAACTACGACTCGTAAAGTAAACATGGAGCTGGTCTAACCTTTCTATGGAGGGAGTTCCAGATTCCAGATGGCACCCCAGAGGCAATCTGGCTATTGCATTTTTCAGTATGAGCTCTTTCTAAACAGATTTCAAGGGCAGTTCCATGTAGATCATGTTAGTTATCAAAATATGTGTGTGTGTGTGTGTGTGTGTGTGTGTGGTGTGTGTGTGTGTGTGTGTGTGTGTGTGTGTGTCAGAGACAGAGAGAGACTAAGGCACAGGTTACTTAAAGACAAATATCTTCTGTGCTGCACAGTCTGGAAGGCACACAATGTTGTGGGACAGCTACTGATAGGAAACCACCATATTATATGTACAGGTCAACCAACCAACCAACTACACACACTCACACAAAGACACGAGGATAAGAATCACTCTCAGGTGGTCTTTGAGCTGCCATTTATTCCTCAATGATGTGTTATCCAATGGGCCATTGCTAACATGTTAAGGGTGAAATATGATTACAGGTATAATGAGCCTAAATGTGTTTCTTCACCATAATTGATGGTGGTATCTCTGCAGTGAAACAACAATGCTGGATACCTCTGTTTGAAGAGATTTTTCTTCATGTGGGCCCTTCAACACTATCTCCCATCTTACTCCCTTGTTATGCATTTTGTATTGCTCTCCCATGACTGAAATGGCGTTTTGCTTCCTGCTGTACCGTTTCTGAGCTGTGGTCTGATATTACTTTGGTACAGTTAATAAAACACACAGAGACAACAATGTGAGGGAAAATGCAGGCTGCCTTATTAGAGATTCTGAATCCTCAGCTGAGGAGCTCATGCAGGACCTAGCAATGAGCTCATTCATCATTGGATGCAGTTAGCTGCCAGCAGGGCCAGGGTAGAAGCACA